CGGCGAGAGAGGCTTCGCATTCCGGAGTGAAGCGCGCGGCAATTTGCGTCACGGTGGCTGCTTGCATCCCGAACAGAGAGAAACACGTGGCTAGGTGGGTCGTGCGTGCGAGAGCCGGTTCGAAATTCCCGCGCGCGTCGCCGCGAGATCGCTGCCGCTGCCGTTGACAGGCCGCGTTGCCGGGTTGTTTTCGTATTTCGCGGGAACGCGAACGATTTGCACACACTCGAAGCCAGCCGATCCGGACAGAGAGAAATAACGATGATGGATTAAAAGTCGCGATATCACCCTCCCCCTTTGTTCTTTGTATGTTTCCTTTCTTCCTTCCTTCCTTCCTTCCTTCTTTCTTTCTTTCTTTCTCGATTTCTTTGCTTCTTTCCTTTCGCGGCGACGTCTACCCGCGCCGCTCAGTGTGCTTGGGCGTTGTATCGTCAAGCCAGAGAGCTCCGGACTTCTCCCCTCGTGTCTCGCTGCCTGAAGGCCTATCCTCCCGTCTTCGCAAAGATCGAACGCGCGCGCGCGCGCGCGTGTGTACATGTGTGTGCGTGGCGCGGCGCGTACGGAGTGAGACACACGCCAGAAAGAGAAAAAGAGCAAAGAGTGCGTTTGCTTTTTTGGCAACGCGCGCTAGATCGCCTACTGTCGCTGCCGCACACCACCGTCAAGTATCATCCTCGTCGTCGTGGTCGTCGTCGCCGCCGCTCGTTGTCATCCTTGTTTTCTCGCCGCGTTTTCCAGATAGACACAGCCGGATTCTCTTGCGATCGTGTGCCCTTTTACCTGCAGCACCCGCGAAACGAACGAAGCGCGTGAAAACCTGCGCTCGGAAGGATGCGCTTCTGAATCGCGAGCAAAGAGGGGCAGGAGGAACGGAACGCACGTGAGCGACGTGTCGAACACGACAAGTGGCCGCAAGGTAAACTCCCCTCCCCCCGGCCGCGAGAACACGCACATACATACCTATGTACGTTCTTCCTATCCGGCTCTTTACGCCCAAGAAGGTAATTCGTTCTCCAGTGTGGAGAATTAATTCTCCGACGCGTTCCTCCTGGCTATCAACCACGATTCTCCGACGAAATCTGCTCTCGACGCCTCCGTTCCTATCTTTCTCAGCTCGCGTCCTCCCGCTTCATCATCATCTTCTTCTTCTTCTTTCTCACCGCCTGCGTGTGTCACTGTCCATCTGTCCGTCCATCCCGTTCTCTATTTGACTCTCTGTCTCTCTACACTCATACACACAGATCACCCCCCGTACGTGTGTCTCTCTGGAACGTCTTTCTCCGTCAGCCTTTCGATACCATCCTTCTCTCCCCCTCTCTCCCTCTCTCTCTCTCCCTCGTCGTTCTCTCTCACTTCGGTCGTTCTCGCTCTCGTCGTACCGGGCGATCGCCGGCTTTTCGTACGTTTTCGTGCGGCCTCGCTGCCGCGCCGCGACGTACGCCCGCGTCGACCAAGGCGGCACACAGTTGCACAGTCGTGACGTGACGTTTCGGGGGTTAGTTCGCACGGTATGTGACGGAGAAAGAGGCCACCGGTGTGGACTGGGCTGTGTGTCGCGCTACAACGTGCTCTTCTTCCAAGGATCCGTCACCTTTCCGTCACTTTTCCAACGGAAGCTTCGCTCCAACTTCCTCGCCACTACACCTCGATCTCTTTCTCTCTTTCCCTCCGGTGTTCGTTGCTCTTGGCCTGTGTGTAACACACGGTATGTGTACGCGGCATGTGATCCTCCAGCGGGCGAATTCCCTCGATCACAGAGCCGAGGCCACCGCAAAGCGGGAAATCACACCGCCGACACTTCTTATCCCCGTCTCCTTTCGCTCGTTTTCTTTCCCTTGTTTCGTCCCGGAAACCTGCCACCCTTTCTAAACCTCCTCCAAATTAAATCCTATCGAACTAGTCTCACTTTGGTCGTTTCGACACGTGCCACTGTCTCTCGCCAGTCCGGAGGATTTCGCACGTGTTTCACAAATCGATCGATTTGAATCAATAACCTGTCTCTCTCTTTCTCTTCGTCGATCGCAGAGATTCTCCGTGCTACGTGGAGGATCGGGCACGAGGGAGGAAAACACGTTTTCGTATTGGCGGGCCAGCGTGTCGGTTCGCGGATTGCGGCCGGGTGGATAATGACTTTCCGCCACGACGAAGCAGCACTAGTGGCCGTGCGTAGGGGACTTTTTCGCGAACTTGTGAAGTGCGCACTTTTTTGCGAGGTGGCGTTGTGCAGATAAAACGCAACGGCGGTTTTCAATTCGGTTCATTGTTTCGGTGGTTAGCTAGCGCGGCGGCATGACACGAGTGATATAGGTGTGCTTTCGCGATAACGCGTCCACTTTCTTCGAAACTGTGATTCACATTCGTTGGATGATGTGTGATGTGGTGAACGTGCCTTAGAAAGTTTCGAGAGAAAAAAAGAAAGAAAGAAAGAAAGAAAGCGTATAACTGCCTATATAGCCCGCGATCGCCGAGAAAAAGGTATTGTATAACGTGATCCGGCCTCTCTTTATCTCACTTTTAACTCTCGTCCGTCACCGTTTTGACAGTTTTCTTTTTTCCATCTTTTTTTTTTTGATGGGGGGAGGGGGAGGAGAGGAAAGGGAAAAACGCGTGCCCGCGTTGCCGATCCGCGACCAACTCGACGTCAAGAGAGATGAACGCGGTGTTTCATTTTCTTCGGCGGAATTCGAGATTTCTCCTGGGTCCTCTCCTGCGTCAGTTCGAACTGCAGGGTTCTCTATTATCAAAACTGGCAGGGATTTTCACGGCACTGCGAGAGCGAGCTTATCTGGAACTCGTCACACATAAATTTAGCAGCTTGTTGCGATAGCGAACGTCAAAAAAACTCTGAAAACAGTTTCCGAATCGCGCACCGCGCCACGCTTTATGATAAACGGTGTATCTGTCAAAAAAAAAAAAAAAAAAAAAAAAAAAAAAAAAAAAAAAAAAAAGGAACGAGCTAATTATTTCTTTTTTTTTTTTTTNAAAAAAAAAAAAAAAAAAAAAAAGAAAAAAGAAAGAAAATAAGGAACGAGCTAATTATTTCATTTTTTCTTTTTCTTCTTTCCTCCTCCCTGCTTCAGCAGGCGATAATCGTGTCCAAAATATTGCGGCACACACTATTATTTACCATTTTGTCGCGGTATATGGTTTCTGTTGCGCGCGCGACCCCGTGTAGTACTTTAATTACTATTTCTTCGAAGCGTCGAGTCGACTAGTGCAAAAATACCTTTCGAATCAGCGATACGATTATCAACGGAAACGTTGTATACATACATATATACATATACATATGTATATATACCCGACGCTCTTTCTTCGTTATCGTGACAACGAGTTACGAGAATATAAAAAAATTGAGTATTAGAAATCGACCGTCATTAATTTCGTTCGTATATATCGAAGCTATTGTCGTAGCTGTACAACAAATTGCGTACGACGCGGCCAACCAGCACTGTAAATTTGTTTTAAGATTTTTCTTCTCTCTCTCCTTTCTCTCTCTTTCTCTCTCTCGTTTTTTTTTATCATTTCGCTAAGATAACACTATCAGCATACATTTAATGCTTGCGCTTTTATAAGTGGCGAGGAGAATTATTTAATCGTAACGTTCTGGCTTCGCTCCAGTCTGGCCGACCTAATTTTCTCGTATGGTGCAAATAAAAGAGAGGAGAAAAAAGAAGAAGGAGAAGGAGAAAAAAAAGAGAAGCGAGAGAAAAGAAAAAAAGAGTAGCGTGATCCTTCGGCTTCTATTTTTACGCCATGCACTCTTTAATTCTTATTCTTCGTCGCGTGCTCCTCCTCCACATCTGTATGCCGCGATATTTTATTTTATCCACGTGTGTGTCACGCGCTGTTTCGTCCGCTGAAACGCGTCAATGATACCTGTGTACGTGTACACATACACATGTACACAGGCAAGTTCGCGTGGATCCACAGCGACTATTTGGTACTGTATGTAACCGTACGCTCTACGCACTTTCTCTCTCGTTCGAGTTCTCCTCTACGCCACGTAAAAATACCGCAAAACTTGCAAGTGTCGTTTTACGCGCTCGCGCGCGCGCGCACCACGAACGCTTGCTGTATTTTTATTTCGTTTCGAATTAATAACATATGCTAGTGCGTGATATCTCTCTCTCTCTCTCTCTCTCTCTCTCTCTCTCTCTCTCTCTCTCTCTGGTCCACCTCGTCCCTATCAAGCGAATTCGTGTATTAATTCCGCGAGTAAGTTACGTAAGTTTTCGCGGCCCGGAGAAACGTAAGGAAATTAACATCTGTTCTAATGCCACACTTATGGCAAACACGCTGTTTAAATAGTCGATATCGAAACCATTATATAATTTTTGCCCATTTCTTGCGGATAAACTTTAATTTTTATTCACTTCTCTTTCTCTCTCTCTCTCTCTCTCTCTCTCTCTGTCTCTCTCTCTTTATTTTTTATAGAAAAAAGTACGATACTACGATAAGGTAAAAGAAAGAAAAAACGAGTTTTGATTAGTACGTCTTGGGAAAAATTTCAGACTCGAACGTCTGAAAAGTCATTTCAGCGATTTTGGTAATTCCAGCGTTCAGATCCACGTTCGAGATACGTACACATGCACGTTACGTGTGCGCGTACACGCGTGTTGCAACAGTGTCTCTTTTTTTCTCCTTCTTTTTTTTTATTTCGAAACGACCGGTTATCGAAAATTATCGATCTCCGAGACTTATCTGCCGGCGGTGGTTTATCGTACACAACTAGAAATTCCGTTTGACCTTCGAGTCTCGTTCGCCGATGTTCGGGTGCACGAAACATCCGGCCGCCGGTGTGTTCGCAAACGGGCCGGGCGGGACAACTCGAAACAGAGAGAAGGTGCCGATCTCTCGCTTCGCGGTAAACGTTGTAAAAATGTTCCTTTGGCCGAGAGACACCGCGGCCATGCCTCGATTTTATTCAACCGATAAGATAAGTGTTCAAGCTTTTTCGCCCGATGTTAAATAGCGAACGTTGTTGTTTCTGATTATAGGTGAATAGACATAACGATGGTAGATACGCAACACTTCTGTCTGCGATGGAACAATTACCAAAGCAGTATAACGTCGGCGTTTGAGAACTTGAGGGACGATGAGGATTTCGTGGACGTCACACTGGCCTGCGATGGCAAGAGCCTCAAAGCGCACCGCGTTGTACTCTCCGCCTGCAGTCCCTATTTTAGAGAATTGCTCAAGGTAAGATATGTAGATGTGCGTCACAGCCCTCAGTATCCAACAGTCTTAGGACAATTGTTAATTGTTGAAATTCTGTGCTCCAGAAACGAATTGAAGGATTTTCCTCGCGAAGGTTCTTCAACGCTGAAATTTCCTCTTTGCAACACGCCTCCTTGAAACGTGCTGTACGATTTTTCTTTTCGTCATTTTATCGGACATTGAACATTAGGGTTGAATTTTAATTCCGACGTTCAAAGAAAATCGTACAGTATAAGTTTTAAGGGATCAATTTTCAATCTTCGTGACCATAGTGAAGTATGGCAAAATTTTCGTGGATACAATCCACAGATAATTTTGTTCAAAAGTGATCAATAAATTGAAATGTAAAGAGGAAATGATAATGACGAGCATTTTTGAAAACTTAGCCTCAAATTCTCAGTTATCTATAGATAAAATCATGAAAATAAGTCCTTCTCTAGATGTTAAATATTAATCGTCCGATAAAGAATCTGTGAGATAATAACATATTAACAATTGTATTCTAAAGTGCACGTGCAATTGAAACATTTCGTCTGCGATAAGTATTAAATATTCACCCTAGTGAATATTACACAATGATGAAAAATTATATAAAATGTCCTAGGACTGTCCCAAATAGTTGCACGCATCCTGCTTCCCATTTTCCCTCTGCGTTTTAGAGATTTGCTCCAGATGATGAGACACACGAGCCGTCAATTTTTTCCACTTACGTTCACTTCTTGTGTGTGTACTCACTCTCTCTCTCTCTCTCTCTCTCTCTCTCTCTCTCTCTCTCTCTCTCTCTCTCTATTGTCGTCTGCGGACACATCGAGTACAACGTCAATGTTTAACAGTTATACGAGAAAACTATGTCTCTTCTTTTCCTCGTTGCTTTCCCTTTTGCAGAGCACACCGTGCAAACACCCGGTGATAGTACTTCAGGACGTGGCGTTCAGCGACTTGCACGCCCTGGTGGAGTTCATCTATCACGGGGAGGTGAACGTGCATCAGCGTTCGCTTAGCAGTTTTTTGAAGACCGCCGAGGTCCTCAGGGTATCGGGACTTACGCAACAGGCAGACCAAACAGACAGGGACGAGGTAAGATGCATTCCTCTGGCTATCCGCTCCTCCGTCTGTTCCTCCTTTTCTTTGCCATTCGTCGATAATAACAGTTCGTCCATATGTAATATATATACTACCAGGCTGTACACGGTACGCCGGGCAAATTGATTATATACTTTGCATGTTATCTTTGATAGAGACGCGACTTTCAACTAAAAAGCCACGTTATCTTCGTGCACAATGTGTGTATCCAATCTTGATTCCAATCCATAATTGTCCTAGGTCAAGCAAACAAAGATAACGGGGCTGCGTTACAAATAGAAAGCAAGCATTCGTAATCGTGAATTCTCGTGGGCATGCGCGCGTATTATTCGACCATACATCGAGTATTTTCTTCATCGAGAATCTTTCTCTTTCTTTCTCTCTCTCTCTCTCTCTCTCTCTCTTTCTCTTTCTCTTTCTCTTTCTCTGCTCTTCTTCTTCTGTCTTTTTTTTCGTTGCTGTTTTAAAGCGTAGTCCAGACATTGTCTGCGGATAGCGAACTGTATATACGTTGATAGTCGTCAAAGACAAAATACAGACCAATATGTACTTGTTCGTAGATAATATCTGGTCCTTGTTTAGTAATAATGATCTAAACGAGCAAATCGAATGAGTAACAAGAGAAGATGAGAAATATTGTGCACGAAGAACATATAGAAGGGATCTTCATTTTATACGGGCGTACATATGTGTTACAGCTGTGCTTCTGAGAAAAAGTCGACGTTTTTAGTACACTGATGAACTAATTTAGCAATCTCGGTTATCTTTACTCGGAGGATCGTAACGAGCGGTTGATGGAAAAATTATCGATTTCTTTCTAATATATACGCCTCTGGACAGTGCCTAGATTTATTTGTTCTCAAATTGATACTATAATAATTTTAAATCGAGGTAAAACTTTTCCTACGATTCTAAAGAGGTATTTACGTTGCTCTTGAGAATAGATACGTGAATGTTATCCAACATAGAAGAACAGTTGAGAATAGGAACGTGCTTTGTTAAATAGACAATCGTCCACGCGTATCGTAACACTGAATCAAAAGATGTGCATTAACACTGGAACTAGCCACAATTAAATCATAAAATTTCCATCAGAGACATTGAAATCGAAAATTATTTAAATCCTTGAAAGCACGTAGCGTTTTACGTCTATAAAATATTATAAAATTGACACATAAAAATTATAAACTGATCATTTTGGTAGTTCCAGCGTTAACACGCTCGCAATCGCGTTGTCTACTAGTAAAGGATATAGAAGATTTAAAATTTGTAAACTGTGCCACCAAGTAGCGTACGGTTCCCTCTTCGTCGCATGCTTCCTCCTTCTTTCTCTTCTTCTTCTTGTCTCTTCAAATTCCAGCTGTCCCACGTTCGCGCGTTAGCCGCCGGCGGTAATCACCTTCCGTTTCACGAAAAATCCGAGGAGAGTTTCCCCCGGGGTGGCTCGCCGCCGACGCCGGTAACCCCGACGCCGACCACCGTGCAGCAATTGCTACGCCGGGCGCAGATACGCAGGAACGAGAGACGAACGCCGGATCCGCACGATGAGTCGGCGAAGAAGCCGAGGGTGCCGTCGCCGCCACTCAACAACAACGACGCTACGCCCACGGACTTCTCGATGGTGAAGAACAACCATCTGTCGAGCAAGGTCGAGGGTAACGGCGTGCACGAGGAGAACAGCCCGCTGGAGGACAACATCAAGTGCGAGCCGTTGGAGCTGACTGGCGGCAACAGCGGCAACGGGGGCAACAACGAGGACTCGTCGGATTCCGGGGCTGCGGCGTCGGACCGGCCACCAGCATCGGCCAGCAGTAACGAGCACGAGGTCGAGTCCGAGCACACGTCGACGCCGAACTTTCTGCCAGAGACGAAGATCTTCCCGACGCCCGGCAGCTTTAATTTCAGTATGGCCGCGTTGACGGAGCACACGCCGTTGTCAGGTACGTGGATCACACGCGTTCCGACCGGGCCTGTACGCATTGACCAATTTTCACCACGCATTATCCACCATTCTTCGTTCGTACTTTTCCTTTTCTTCTTTTTCGATTTTTTCTTTTTTTTTTTTTTTTTTTTTTTTTTTTTTTTCTTTTTTTTTTTGTTTTCCTTTTTTTTTTTTAAAAAAACAATTTTTTTTTTTTTTTTTTTT